CCCCGGGCTGGACTCCGCTTCGTCCACGGTGAAAGCCGATCTGGCGATCCACAGTGCGAAGTTGATGTATTTCCTCAGCGACCAGCACAGATCAGCTCTAGGCACGACGAAGCGGATATCGTCCTCTTTTGGAAGGCCAAACAAAGTAGTTTCGCTTTCACAACGAAACACACGGCAACAACAATACTACAGCGAGAATAAAAGTTACGCCTTCTTTCTTTGCGTGAACATTTGGGCGGTGTTATGCAAATCTTCCACATCGTGATGTAGACATGTGGGGGCGTGTTAGAACGAGCTGTTTTAGGTAGGCGTGGTTGACTTAACTATTATAAAGATTATCTCTTTGGATTTGAGACTTTAGTCTTTGCAACTTTACAGATCTTCTTTATGCACCAAGAGCTTGTAACACTCCAAAGAGAAAGGAAAAATTGAAATCGCATCATATGACCCCTTTAAACAAATACTAGTATTGCAAAGCTTATACATTCAACATGTTGCATTAAAAGCATAGTAGCTTTTACTAAAGGGGTCATTTTCCTTAAATGCTGTAAACATTAATTGTGCAGTGCAGTGGTATTATTCCTATGTTACAATATAATAATGCTTGTTTGTTTTTTAATATTGCAGGAGCCTTTACTCTAAAGCATGGAGGTTGACCTGACGACATCAGATGATCCCCCTGAAAGTCATGACCTGAGCCAGGATGATGACACCTCACTGGACCACACTTTGCCTCTAGAATTGGCACATCAGCTTCCAGAGACAGCCTCTTGCAATGAACATTGTGACCAAGAAACACCCCCTGAGGAGTCAGCCACTGATAATCTTCACACAGACGGCAAAGCTTCTGGAAAGACTCCATGTAAGATGCAGCAGGGTGCAATCTTCTCTGGAAAAATACTGAGTTTTTGTTGCTCTGAATGCAAAGACAACACCACTTACAGCCCTAATGACTTGCTGAAACATTTTCAAGGAACACACAAGGGGATTCTTCCAACTTATCCTTGTGATCTGTGCTTGTTTGTCACCAATGAATTCTCATCTCTTCAGCGACATCGCATCGGACATCGAAACACTTTGGTCACGTGTGAGATTTGCAACGATGGGGTGCAGTATTCACTTCTTTTGCTCACCAGGCACTTTACCAACTGCCACAGCTGTAATGGACAGTTTCTCTGTAAAAAGTGTGAGTTCTCCACCCGAGATGCAGGAACCTATGTTCAACACATCCATCATCACAACGAACGTAATCACAAATGTGTGAAATGTCCACATGGTAGCCCCACACAAGGGGAGCATCAGCGGTATAACATGGTGCATTCTGGGACTTTTCCTTTCTCTTGTCAGATTTGTGGCTATCGTGCAGCTCGCAGAGATTATCTGAACAAACATCTTACTGTGGCACACGGTGAGGAAATGAACAAGTGGAGAACAAATGAGGACAGTTCTGGAGTTAGTTCACCTGGATTAAAACGGTTGCTTAAAAAGTCTCCTCCAGTTGGAGGATCCAGAGAATCGCAGAGGATGTCAAAACGTAACTCAATCCCCGGTGTAGGTCTGCTTGATCATAACGGCAGGTTGTTTAATCCTGAAAAAACCTTGGAGGAGACCCAGCAGTTCCTTGAAAGAGCTGTCGGGGTTAAAAAAGAGAGTGTTAAATGGACAAAGTCTCCCCTAAAAAGTGAGCTGCAAACTTTGCACCTCATTCCATCAACAACGCCACAACCAAAGTTACAAGAGCATGAGATTAGTCCAGGAAGTCCAGGACTTCTGAATTCAACCAACAGCAATGGACTGACTGTCCTTATGGTGAAAAATCAAATTTCTATTCCACCAAACTGCACCACTAAAGTCATGGGCTTTCAGATGGTAGATGGTAAAAAACATTTAGTTCTAAAAGTCATACCGACAAAACAAGAGGACTCCACTGAAAATGAGATTTCTGATTCACACATTGGTGACGATGAAGATAAAATAACCAGCAGCCCCTGCTCTTCATCCTCACCAAGCATAGGATCTCTCCTCAGTTTAGAGTCTGGTGAATCAAATGAGATATCTTCAATAAAAGAAGAGTCACGGGAAGTTGAAAATCACATTGGCAACCATCTCCCCCCGACAGATGAGCACAAAGTTAGCTTTGAGAGTGCAAGTAAAGCAGGGCAGGTTAATAATGAGGATACTGAAGTCTCACATAGTGTTAAAGTACTGTCTACATCATCAAAAGATGCTGCACTTTCCCTGTGTCAGAGCCGTCAATCCAATGGAAGGTCATCGCCTCATCTGCATGAGGTATCTTTCCTCTGTTCAAGTGAGAAATGCTCCACTGATGATATCCAGACAGACAGCACACTTCCTGTTTCAACTAAAGAGCTTTCCTCCACTGATTCTGAGACCACACTTTCTGATTTGCAGATGGCTCAAGTAGATTCATCTAAATATGAGGCTAAAGCGTTAGCTTCAGTTATGGATGAACCCTCAGGATCACAGTCATCTGCTGATGAAACCACATGTCCTGATGCAGTTTCTGATTTAGAATCAAACCCTGAAATGTCTGTAGAAGGCAAGTCCACAAACACTGATATCCTGAAATCTAAACTTCCATCAAAAACAACTGTAGATGCAACATTTTCGGTGATGTCGGAAGAATCTCTTATCCAGGAACCATGTGAGAATAGCACTGAACCAAACTCCCCTATTAAAAGTCCTGTCGAAAAGAGCATCCTTGATTTAGTGGCTAAAGAAGAGCAGGATTCTGATTCTGACAAAGTTGAGACCTTATGCAAGATGACTGACATTAAGACCTCTACCGCAGAAGTTGGAGAGTGCTTTCAGTTTTACCCAAATGCTCATTCTGACTCGAGTGAGACGCCAGCCTCAGACAGTATTGTTGTAAAGTCCTCTGAAGTAACTAAAAACAAAACCACAGAGGCAAACGCACAAAATGAAACTAGTAAAAGTGCATCAGCTGAAGCCAAAGATAGTAACACAGAAGTTGAAAATAACTTTCTCAATTCCCCAAGTCAAGAGGTCTTTAGTTTCCACAATTATTCTAAAGACACTTCTGGGAGCTCTCCTGATTCTTTGCTGCCTGAGGAAGACTCACCGCAGGGCATGGAGGAAGAAGAGTGTGAGGACGATTTTGGTGATTGGAGCTTAACTCTGCCAGCATCACCTCCTCTTCCAACTGAAGAAGATAGCAAGGGAGGGGCCAGTGAGAGTGATCTGGTCTCCGAAAGTGGAGAGAAAGCATTAGAGAGAGTGTCAGATAGTGATATTGAGGTAGATGAGTGCATAGCTACTGTCGATGATTCACTCATGCCTGTGCTTCCAGAAAAAGAAGGAGAAGAAGCTTGTTCATCAGCACCAGAGAAGAAACAGGAGGGTATCACCTTTGCGAGCGAGAACACAGCAACAAGTGTGAATAGTGCGACTGTTTTGGGCAAGATACTTGAAAAGCACTCAGACGCCATAATCAGCCAGCAACTTGAGAAAGAAAGAATGAGGTCTTCAGCGACAGTACAAGAAACTGTTAGGCCGACCAAAACCACACTTCGGATCTTGCAGACACCTGAAGGAAAACAGCAGATGTTCCTTCAAACTACAGACACTCCATATGCCGTGCCAGTTCAGCTGAAAAGTGGAGCTGGGTTCAAGCTAATTACTAAGTCCTGTTCTCCCAAAATTAACGTGTCTTATGTGAAACCTGGGATTGAGATGGCCAGCAAGACTACGGGAGTAGCTCTCACTTTAAATGGAGGGAGAATTGGCATGTCTGCACAGAGTTCAAATTTTGAAACAAAAGGTCAAGCGTCTGCCCAGATGGCACCAAGTGGCAGTGGAAACCGCTACTTCGTCAATGCTTCTGCTCTTCTCTTATCGGGTGCTGTCAAGTCCTCATCCGGAGAACAGGTGACCAACGTGCCACAGACTTGTTATTTGGTTCAGAGACCACTCCCTGTTACCCCGGTTAGTAGTGAGTCAAGTGGTTCAAGTTCTAAGACTGTGCTTGCAACCCGTCCTGTATTGGCCATGCCTGTGAATGCTGCAGATAAAACCAGTCCTTTGCAGGCTGGGAGACAAGCTTACTTGGTTAGATACATTTCTCCTGCCAAGTCAGGTATACTTTTGAACAATTCAGACGGGAAAACCTTGAACCAGGGCAACCAAGTGAACGAGGCTGGCAAAAACAGGGTTTTCCTTAAGATAGTTCGAGGTCCCAACGGCACCAGATTTCTCTCGACTGCTCCATACACCACAACCAAAAAATCAGTATACCTTGCCACAAGCTCTCTGCAGTCACCTTGTTTGTTAATGTCCTCAAATAAATCTTTAACCAATGTGTCGGCAGGATTTAAAACCTCTACTAATTCACAAGGTCTCATTCATAAACTCATCCCCGCATCCCAGCTTAAACATATTCTACCCCAGTCCAATGTTCAGATCAAAAGCAGGGCTGATCACGATGTAGCATTACAGAAGTCGCCACTTGTTCCCTGTTCCATCCGTGCACGTAGCCAAAGGAAACGGAGGCGAAGGGCTTTGTTTGAGGAAATGCTGGAGAGCTCCTCCAAAATGAGGAGAATCTCCAGCAAGTCGTCGGCCGAGAAAGACGCTACCTCAATTTGGAAGCCTGTTGCGAAAGATGTTGTGAGAACGCTGAGGCTCTGTCCCTTTAGTCCACTTCAAGAAATCAAATGTCCCCGGCGAAGCCAGCCTGTGGTTGTGCTGAACCATCCGGATGCAGACATTCCTGAAGTTGCTAGCATCATGAGGTCTGTGAACAAATACAAAGGTGAAGTTCACAAGGTGGCACTGTCCCAAAATACACTTAAAGCCCTGTCGGAGTCTCCAAGAACACTTTCAAAGCAGAATGCTTCCAATGGCAGTGGGAGTGAAAGATCAAGGCCAGAAGGAGGTGCTGTTCAAGAGAGATTCATACTGAAACTGAAGTTAAAAAAGACTAGCAGAAATAAATATGAGGTGGTGAGGTCCACATCTGCTGGTTCAGAGCAGCAGTCAACATTTTGTTGCTGGTTTTGCGGCCGAGTTTTCAACAACCAAGAGGACTGGATCGGCCATGGTCAACGGCATCTAATGGAGGCAACAAGAGACTGGAATAAGCTGTTCTAATGCAATTACAGAGCCCCTGGATTGGGCCAAATGCCATCCTTCATTGTAAAAAAAACAGATTTTTTGTAATATTTTCTTTTTTTTTAAATAGTACAGTAAGATAACCGTTAACTGTTGATATTATTTTTCCATAGATTTTTCTTCAGAAGCTTTTAAAGGGTATAGTGTAATAGAGAAGAGTTTGGTACCTGAAACAAGTTTGTATGTAAATAATTTTCACCCTTGTATATTTAAATCTCAACCCTTGAGTATGTATAGAACGGAACTGTGAAAACTGGACACACTGTATGTTTATGGTGCAAGCAGAAAGATCACTGGTATAAGATGGTGCTGTTTCTTATAGACCTCTTTTAATGCAGACAATTTAACTGAATTCTCAGGTAATTCCATAATTTTTGAATGAATGAGTGAATGGTCCAGTTTATAAAAAAAGTCATCTGTGTTTGATTGTAGATTTTTATGTACCATTTAAGTACAGTTTAATTTGGCTACATTGTCATACCTACATCACTGAACCAATTTTAATTTCCAATTAACCTCCTTTGGGGCTTAGATATTGTGAAAATGTTCAAAGAAATTGAATTTGATATGCAAATTTTAAAGGGATAGTTCACCCAGAAATAAAAATGGTCATTTTCTCACCCTCGTGTCATTCCAAACCTGCACAACTTTTTCTTATGTGAAACACATAAAAAAACATTCTGAAGAATGTATCGCCAGTTTTATCAATGCAATTAAAGTCAGTGGGGTCTAAAACATCAGACCCCACTGAATTTCATTCTATGGTCATTTTTCAAAATATCTTCATAAAGGTTTGATGTGACATGAGGGTGAGTAAATGATGGTTGAATTTTAAGGGTGAACTATCCATTGAAATATTATTTAGGAATTGTGGCACACATGATATTGCCTAAAACATGCCCAACTGGTTCCTGTGGAAACCATCCTGTTAAAATGTTGTGAGGTGGTTTGCCATTAATACGCAGTATTTGTTCTCATGTTGTTTCTTTGGGTCAGTTTCGTGTTTTGCTGGTGCCATGCATCTCCCTTAATTATGTCAGTTCAGACCCGGTGTCATTTCAGTAGCAATAATGGACTTTATAATACTGTAGTTGGAATTTTTCTCTGTAAAGATATTCTGTACCTACATCTGTCAGTTATGTCTTTGGTGCTTTTTGTTGTCCTTTTCCTTATTTGAAATGAAGTAATGCACCTGTAAATGTACTCTTATGCTTTACTAAAAAAAAAGATAAAACAGGATGTATTGAGATGCAAGCCAACAAACCTCAAATAGCCAACCAAACACTAACTGTATTTTCGTTTTCTGTGATACTCGAGTGCCTCATTCTGCCTCAAAGTTTTAACAAGAGGGTCTGTTTTTCCATGGTAAAGTCCAGATTTGTAAGATTCTTGTGTGCTTAGCAGAGTTCAAAGATTGAAAGTTGTGACCATTTATCCTCGCTACATTGATTTTTGTTTTCAACTGATTTATAAACCACAAAATTAGGAGTTGAGGCTTCCTTTAAACTATTTTTTTTTTTCAGACTGTATTCTCATTGATAGCCCTAATATCAAGTCTTTTCAATATGGGTTTGTTCCATAGAAACAATTGGTTGACAGTTTAAAACTTATCAAAACACAGCTGAGATGGTAATTTGAATTATAAAATTCAATAAATCCTTTGCATTAAAAGTAGAGTTTTCTAGAAATTGGATACAACTATTGTTTTAAACGTCAACACTGTCCAGAGCTGATGGTGTACTCAATGGTGCTTTTAAATCTTTGTGAGTCTGCTAATTTTTGAGTGTTTTAAAAAATATATAACTTCTTGTTAAATATAGATAAACACCCCACAAGTGCTCCGATCTGCCACACTCAAGTCGCCCTGAGAGATCTCTCTAATTGTTAGGACAGATGTCTTCATTTGTCTGTGTACATTAATTGGACTTTGTCCATTGTGCTTGAAAGAAGCTTTGATGGCAGAGAGGTAATATTCCATCCTTGATTTAAGTAGCTAGTGTTCAGTGTTTTATAGTTGTCCGAATAAATCAGTGGATTTTCTGAAGCTTTACTTTCCCATGTTCAGTCGGTTAACTTTGTTTCTAAAGTGAGAACTGTTGTTGGCCTATAAAGTTTTATTTTCAATATTCACTCAGTATGTTTGTCACCCTCTTTGTGACATGACAATCACTGTTATACATGTGAAGTAGTGGAACTGTTTATGCAAACCATAACAGTCGACTAATATTCAGCTCAAATGGCCCAGCTTGAAAAAAGTAATGTCATGCCATGAATGAGCAAAAATATAGTCCTCACTCAGACACCTGTCAAACAAATAATGTTCGTTCTCAAGCAAAAACGTCCTTCCTCCTTGTTGTAATGCCCGTGTCGCACAGGTTTTATTGGGATCTGAGAGACAAGTTTATTTTTTTATGCTAAGTGCCTAAAATGTGATGCACCAGGTTGACACTATATTGTACTGTATTTACCTCCTTGCAGTTCCTTCTTTAATAAATGTAAATACCTTTGAAGGAGATGGTTATTTTTTATGACTGCAAAAATGCTTGACACTTTGATAGCATATGGGATTTGCACTATATATATATCAGTCACTTTAAATGTGATCTGGCAGGCAAATGTTGCAAAGGAGCACTCACCTCTAGATGGCAGTATTGCATTAGGTTAGTAAAATAGCACTGTCTTTATAATGTCATGCAGAGGGTGTTTTACTGGCACATTGGCCTAATATTGACTTCATTGGTATTCAACAGTATGATGCAAACACGGGCATTTTTCCTCTGGCAAGAAATGTATTCTCAACATTTTTGTGGAGTCAGCTACACTTCTAAGGAATTCACAATAGAGCAAATATGTTTATCAATGCCTTTTTTTTTTTTGCTGGTTGGTCTGAGATTATTAATCCAGTCGTATAAATCATTCACTTCATTTGCAAATAGTATACAACAGATGAACCCTTTCAGATATCTTTATGCCAGTCTGTGAGCTACTGTATGGTAATACAATTCATACATCTCTCACAGAATCACTCCCTAAGGATAGCAGCTTCTAACTGCAAAGTTTACTTTTATTGCGTCATTTAGTGTTGTAGATTCACTAATCACTTTAACATTCTCATATTTGTTAGCCACAGTTTAGTAACCCTGAACCAAAAAATGTGTATGTCAGTTTGTTGAAAAATATCAAACCATTGTTTTGGCCAACATGTAATAATACTTTTTTATTATTATTAATTTAAAATGTAAAATTTTCCTTCAGTATATAGTTGTCACTTGCCTGGATATATGCAAGTATAGTGTTTTTTTAATGAACATAAATAAAATATACATATAGAATGGCATTGATAAATAGAAATATACAAGTTTTTAAACAAGGCATGTATCAGTTAAATATGTAATGATAGTAGAAAAAAGGGGTATAAGAAGGGGTCCTCTTCTAATAAAATGGGGTTTCTTATTATTCCAACAAATTTCTGGGCCTTTTCATTTTCATATATTCCAATAAAACTGGCCTATTTTGCGCAGAGTCATGCTAGTGTGGATGCTATGTATCAAATAAAACAAGAGAATCTATATATGTATAGAGTTAAACAGTACATGACACTCAAAATGAATGTATTTATTATCCTATTTTAGATGCTGTCCCATACACGCTCTAATTTACCAAACCTTGGTTCGGCTTTCGCCTTCATTCTCATGAAGGCTCTGTCATGATAATGAGGGCAAAATCTCTACCCAGGCTATGATTTGCCGTGAGTCATTATCCTTTGTCACTATGAGGATATTTGTGATGCATAAATGGGGCGTTGAAGCAGGGGAGACTTATAGCCTCATGAGTGGATCGCATGACACCCACTATCAAACAGATCCCAGATCTGTGACTGACTGATTAGTTTGGGATCAACTGATTGATAGAAAATCTGTGGACCCTCACTGAACAGGAATGTGAGAGACAGGTCCGCCTGCTTTGACAGGATTTAAATAGGTCAGGCTTGTATCAGATCTGTCTTCAGACTGCCTCTGACTTCCTGACATTGAAGTGGTTCAGGCCATGAAGTGGCCTGCGGGAAGGAGGGATGGCAGCCCATTCCATGAGAAATGAAGCATTAACACACAAAGATGAGAAAAGGAAGGAAAAAGAAAAGGACAGCACTTGTAGACAGATTAAACTATTGTTAAACAGTCATCGTTTTATTGCGTTGTTTAATAAAATATGTAATTTTAATGATGTTTGAAATGTAATTATTATTAAATACCAGTAGAAATACCAGCAACAAGTCATTCTGGGTTTTCTGCCCAAACTTATGGCGGTAAATTTTCTATTTAAAATATACACGTCTTTCTCTCTCTCTACGTATATATATACCCAACACATATATAGATATATATCTTACCCGACATTTGACATCATATGGCCAAGAATCGCTTAAAAAAGAACCATCCTTGAATTTTAAGCAAAGGAAGCTATTTAAGACACCTGTCCACGTATCCAGCTCACCACGCTGTTCTATTCCTGTCCTGTGCCTTCCCCCGTCTATGGATCTCTTCGGTACCTCGTTTTCACTGCTTCCTCCACCTCCCACTCTCTCTGATAGTATGTCATCTGACTTGAGTTGTTGTGCGTTCTGTCCATTACCACTCAAACCATACCAGAACATCAGGGAGTAAGCGTTCGCCTGCTTCTATAAGGCACAAAATAAATAGGTTACACCATCCTGTGAAACTAAATAAGTAATGTCAAAGGGTGAAGTAATTGTAATTTTGTAGTAGTGCTCAAATACTGAGAACTATCTGAATGCTGTGGACTGACTGTCATATAACAACTAAGCAATGTTTGGTTGAGTCATCTAAATCGGAAGTTGCAACCAACTTTTCTTCCCAATCAAGGAAGAGATGTCATTAAAAGGGGGAGAGGCACTAATATTTTTGCTTAAAGATGAGGTCACGTGAATGTAAAAAAGTAATGATGTGCACAGATAAATAATTTACAACAAATAGTGCAACACTGCATAAAAATTTTAATTTCATGATGAGTAATATTTTATTAGTAATACTTTGTCTTTAGCAAAACAATTTAGTCAACATTTTATATAGCCTAAAATGTTATTTAACTAAAATGACATCTAATTTATTTGACTAAAGAAACATTTTTTGCTGACGAGAAAGTCAAAGTTGCTGACTAAACAATACTAAGTCCGAGATAAGAACCCACTAAAAGCTACTTACATGTAAAATGTTTATTTATTAACATTAACATAAAATAGTCAATCTATTCAAGACTAATATTTTTGGTCACGTTTTCCAACAGGCAGATATAGTATATATATATATATATATATATATATGAATTGTATATATATGAATTGTATATATTCAGCTAATGCATTAAACTGTTAAAGGTGAGCACAAGATTCAAGATTCCTTTTTGTCATTGCACAGAGTACAACCAAATTAGGTAGCAATCCTTGGTGTTATTCACGCATAACATCAAAAGGAATTGGAACAGTATTCATTTAAAGTGCGGGATCAAATAAAAATAAATATATACAACAAAAGGACAATGTGATAAAATGATACAATATGATACAATGGCATAGCAGCTGAGGTGAGGTATTACACATCCGGAT